AATGGTTTTTGATGGACCTTTCTAGTTCAGCCACTTGGTCCTCTAGATATGAGATTCTGTGAGCCATTCTTTGGCTGTCTGTCTTCATGGCTTCTTTCTCCTTTTGGTGCTTGGTGATGACTGAGCTCAGGTCCTGGTTCTCCTTCAGTTTTCCCTGAAGAAAAATATTTATTTCAATTGATAATCTTTCATGCATCAAAAACATAAAATGTTATTCTTGTCATCACCACTGACAATGATACAGAATTTTGAAAATAGAATGCCTGGCATTCACTGGACAAAGCTCAATATTTTAACTAAAAATCTTTTACAGAAATGCAGACATACACTTTATGAGTTAACTGAGAGTTAAAACAATGGCAGTTGAATATTAAAAACCTATCACAGAAAAATAGCAAATTAGTTGAATACAGTATTATGACAGGAAAATTATGAGAGATGTCAATCTTATCAAATGATGTTCACAATTTAGAACAAAAAAACAATACTGTACTGTATTCAATTGTCATGGTTCTTCAAAAATATTGGTATCCATGATGGAAATACAGTTCCTGCAATACATATTTTCTGAGAATATTTACTTGCTTAGCCACATCAATATTGTTTCTGAGTTTTGGATTCAGGTTTCTGGGTGCTTCAATTTCTTTTTTTTTCTGAAAAGAGGAAAATTTACCTGTAGAGTGTCCACAACTACAGAAAGCTCTTCTCGCAAACGCTTTGCCTCAAAAATATGACCCAAAGTGAGTTCTCTTGAGACCACCAATTCCACTTGGTCACCAGGCTTCAGTTTGGACAAGATGTCGCTTCTGATCTCCTCTGCACAGTCCTCCAACACATTCTTCCCGTTCATCTCCAGTATCCTGCAATAAAAGAAGGCTGATTATTACTTGGGTGAATATGAAGATGTGATGAAGTTCAAATCGCTGTAGTTTCTTAAACTTTGAAGGATGCTCTATTCATCCAAGAATTTTTGTGGTTACTGAAACAATTGAATCCAAAGAAAATACAAAAATTGCAGCATTTCTAGGATATTTAGAACAGTTCAGAAGATTTAAGCACAGTAATGAGAACAAATCGGTTTTATGTCCTTCTGTCAAAATTGTCAAAAATTTCAAGTTTTTTATTATAATTTTTTCAAGGAGCTGAGAGATGTTCTAAGCAGTGGAGAATGTGTCTAAAATGTATGACAGAAGAGTACTAACAGTTTTGAATACTGTAACTGAAGAATCCATATTTCTCTGAACTTTCTTCATAAATCAGACACCGTTTCTTGAAATGGAGGTAAAAGTAAATATTAATCTCCAGAATAATTCACAAGGCAAGTATTGTTCTGGATAAATTGTCATTGAATTTTTGAAAAACAGAAGAGATGTAACCTGAGAAAATTTATCTTATTCTTCCCCTTTTACTAAATTAAAAAATAAGGTTTTTAGAACCTGACTAACAAACCAGAGGAAAATTTTTTTTATAATTTCGAAGCAAAAGTACGTTCAAAAGTATCTAATTCAATTTTTAAATTTCTGTCCAAATGTCCCACCTTAATGAAAGAAACCCACCTGTTTTCTTTTTCCAGTAATATTAAAGAAATGTTTCAGGATAAGACTAAGAATCATGCAATCCATGGACACATTTTTCAATTGATAAGCAAAATTATGTTCAGAAGTATCTAATTCAAGTTTCAATTCCTGTCCAAATGTCCCACCCAAAAAAAGAAACCCACCTTTCTCCTTTCTCCAGTAACATTTACAAAATGTTACAGGATAAGACTAACAATTTGCTGTCATATGTTATGTCTACAACTTGAAGAGCACTTATGAGTGTTACATTGTTATTTATTTTTCTGTTACACTTTGTTGCCCTTAGGGCACAACTGCACTTGAAATGCTGTTTCTACTTAGAACACCTTCCTAAATTATTTCCATTTCCTTTGTTGACTGCACAACAAAGTACTGTATGTTGACATCAATCTGAATTGGTTACTATGCACATTGCTCAACCTCAACTGCACAAACCTATGAATACAGGTGTCTCCTATGTTTGAGTAAGTTTACTGTCACCAGAATTAGCCTCAAAACCTTGTTGTTGCTTTGCTCTGCAATGTATTTCCTATTGCTATGTGTATACACAGTAATAAAGACACTTAATCTAAAAATCATTTATAGGAGTATTTTTTGTGTTCTTTAAAAGTATGCAGAAAACAATTTATTTCTCCAAGACACAAGTCCATATTTTGGTTGATTTATAGACACAAGTCCATATTTATCCACAACAGAGTCAAGATGTCTTGTCAGCACTTTTGAAGATCAAGGATTTTATTATGTTCATGCCAATTCAAGACAACAAATCATAGGAACCATGGACATTTTAAAAATTGATGGGCAAAATTATGTTCCAAATTATCTTATTCAAGTTTAAACGTCTGTTCAATTGTCCCACCCAAATGAAATGAGTGAACCCCCCACCTGTCTCCTTTCTCCAATCTGGTGGATGCTTCAGCATGTTCCACAACCACACCCGCATTCGTATTTTCNCAAGTTTAAACGTCTGTTCAATTGTCCCACCCAAATGAAATGAGTGAACCCCCCACCTGTCTCCTTTCTCCAATCTGGTGGATGCTTCAGCATGTTCCACAACCACACCCGCATTCGTATTTTCCTCTCCAGAGTCAGTGAGTTCGAACCTCGGGTTCTCCGGGTCCATGGTGAGGGTGACCCTTAGTAATGCGAGGCACTGGTGCTGTTGGGTATCCTTGCTATTGTTACTGGGCCCAGTTGAGATGCTGGCAAAAAGACTGGCCAGGGCGGGTTTCCCGGGTTCCAACACTGAATTGCCCGCAGGCGCATTTGGCCCGGATCCGATGATTATTTTTGTCCGACCACTTATGGGATCGGTTGTTGATGGATTTTCTTCGCCAGTACTTGAGTCATTGTTGTTCTTGCTGTTGTTGCTGTTATTGTTGTTGTTTATGTTGTTGATGGTACTGGAATCGAGTCGACGTTCTATGTTTTTTGCCTCCAATTCCACGTTGAGGATGTTTAGTTCTTCTTTTTCTAGTTGATATTCAAGTTCTGCTTGCTGAATCCGAACATCTATATTTCTAGACAAATGATGGGGAAAAAGGGAATACAAATTTATTCATGAAACTCAATGAAATCTGAATTTTTCATCCAGGAATCCTGCCTGAAAAGAAAAATAACTACTATTTTTCTTGCAAGCAAACCTTTTAAAATATTTGGACTGATTTTAAAGAGCACATTTTAAAAAACAACTTCAGAATTCTATACACATGAGGGAGAATGAATAGAATATGTTGATAAAAATACTGAAATCGGAACATTTCATTCAAGAATCATGTCCAAGGAGAAAAGCAAAAATAACTATTCTCATATCCCTGCAAGAAAAGTATGTTCACAATATTTTGACTGGTCTTGTTGGACATTAAGAGCATGCACATATTTTAAAATAACTTCAGTTTTCATTAATTCTTTTCAACACATAACTGAATTTGGAAGTACTGTTTCTTCAAAACTCAAACACAGTATGTATGAAAAAAAGCTAGAAAAATGGGCTTGAGTCTTCTGAGAAAATCAGTGACAGTGAGCACTCATCATGGCATTTGAATATTCAAGTTTCAACCATAAGAATATTCCACTGATGCCAAATTGAGGAAAATGAGTCTCAAAATGTCATGGAAGATCAGATCCATGGCAAGATTTATTTGTTGACTTATTTGAAATTATGAGAAAGAAATAGTCCTAAATGAGAAATTTTGTCATCATCATGACTCTTATATGTTTGGCTAATATCGAAATGTTCAACTGATGCTCAATTGTAAAAGAAATAGTTCTAAACTTTTTTTGGAGTTCTGAAAACTGAAGAAAAAACTTACTCAGATCCTTTCAGGCGCTCCAGGAGAGTCCTCAACTTCTTCAGGCCAATTTGCCTACAATCCACATCTCTTCTTAATGTCTTCAGTCTGTCTTCCAATCGCTTTTTGTCCTCAATGTTCAGCTCACTTGCACCATCTTTGCCCTGATGAACATTCACAAAATAATATATATATAATTCATTCAATTGGACTTTTCCCAATCTGTCAAATCTCCAAAAGTCAATTTTCCAGCTAATCTCTTCCAGTTCAACTCAGTTTAAATCTTCTAAATTAGTATTTCTTGAATAAAGTCTCACTCATGTACAATTTTGAGACCCCTGCAGTTTTTCACAAATTTGAGTTGCATTTTTAACACCTTTCCCAGAGCAAAAAAAAAGATGAAAATTATTTTCTTTCTGACATACACAAGGAATTAAGCATATTCCTGCAGGCTGGACAACTATTATTTTTTACTGATTTTTTTTAAGTGAACGGCAAACTCTATTTTCCAATTTTCAGCATTCACAAGGTTCAAGCAATGTTTCCACATCCAAACCCTGTACATGGATATTAAAAGAAAAGAAAATACATCCCAAAATGTACAATTGCACACTGATGTAAATACTGTCCATAAACTTTCTTCCCTTCCCTGATAAAAAAAAAAACAAAATGTCAGTAATGAGAATTGCAGCATCAGGCAACTACTAAACCCAAATTAAAGCACAATATTTTCAGCCTGCTTTCAGAGAAGGTTTAGTTGATTAAACCATTTTGGAGCAAATCTTCGATGAGAAATCATATAAGGTTTACAGTTTATCTTGATCCTAGATTTTTGAGAGTCTTTTCATTGAATTTCAAGAGTCCCGAATCTTTTTGAAGCTCATTTCTGTTGCTATGGAATGCTTGGCATAAGAAAAGAAAGTTACTTCTGAACAATTGTAATTATTTGGTGAGAAGAACTTTGCATTCACCAATTTACCTACCCAAATGATATCAAATCCCCCAACTCAAAAAGCACTGTTTTAAAGATAAATCCCTTTTCCAGTTTTTCAAATTCGAATTGAAGAGGTTCAAATGTTTTTTTTTTTTTTAAGCATTGCAATTTTGGCAGCACTAATTGCCAGTGGATGAATCTGAAGGGAATTGAAAGCCAGGAGGAATGAGTTTGGTGATGGATGGACAAGGTTTCACTGGCAGAAGTGCCTGGGGGTGACAGCC